AATTTCTTCTTTTCACTTTCCAGATTGTGAATAAATTATGCCTCATATAGGTCTGCTAATAGCGAGGCACATTATTATTGTTACCCATGGGAATTACAATAGATTGTTGGAAGATCTGGTTTCCAAAAATCACATATATATTGTCAAACAGAAACTCGAGCATCTTTTTTAATATCAACTTTATTTTAGAGTACTTGTGTGTTTAATCAGAGTTTTTTTTTTTACAAAATAATTTTGCAAATGACCAATGAAAGGATGAGTTCCATTTCTATTGAAAAAGTAGCTGTCAATGATATAAAAAAAAAACGCCTGGACTTTAATTTATTGTGGGGTATAGGTGTATGTAAGTTGAAAATTCGTACGTTTATGTGCTCTTGATTTTAATGTGTGATTTCAAATTTTCCAAAGGCTTCTTGGAATTTTTAAGAATCCACATCTGATTTACACCACAAGTAAAACTGATCATACGTCATCGATACGTATCCATATATCGAGCTGAGGAATCAAGTTTTTTTTTCTTCTTCTCATGCATAAGTGCTTGAATTACTTATGCTTCGTATGAATTACTACAAAAATATGTATGCTTATAACAGGGTGCATTTGGTTTCCATTCCACTCCATTGAATAAATATATGTAGATATGGGAGTATTCTCTGTTGTTAGTTTGATTGGTTGTCTATTGTTTAATCCTCTCGAGAAGTTTTCACTCATATGGAGACGCCACCACTGAAAATTATACCTTTATTCGGCACTTAGGGCTATTTAGCAGTGAGAGATTTTTTTTCGTGCCAACACCTCGGTATATACATTCAAATGGTAACTCTCTACTTCTCGTATTTTTTGATATGTAATAAAAATGAAGCATTTTGAGACATAATTTTACATAACCAATAGCTTGATCTGAAGCTATAATTAAAGTTCACTAAAATTAACATCAATGCAAGATAAGCGACGGATTTTCTACGCTTCAAATGTATTAAAATTTTCTTTATTACCAACCGACCAAATTGTATGTCTCCATCTAAACATAATTCCTTTTCAATCGATCCATCATAGAAATGTGATATAGATATTATATGTGTTCTGTAGAAAAAGAGAAGGGTTTTTTTTAACGCCGTTTGTTTATTTATTCTTTTAAAAGCAAAAAAATAGAATATGTATTTGATAAAAAAAAAAAAGACATTTAAATATAAAAATAGTTAAAATCCAAACACTATTCCTACACCTATACATTTTAATTTACGTACATAGCTACATGTACACTTTAGCATGTGTAAGTTTTATTTAAATTTTTTGTGAATTAAAAAAAAAAGGGAATGAGGATGTAGATATTATTCCGTTATAATACATGTAACATTTAGAATTTTAAATAAAATTTTTGAATAGGTCATAAATTTTCTGTCTTTAATTTTCTGTGGAACAAAATTAATAATTTCCAAGTCCTTAAATTATATATATTTTTTTGCAGTAATGGTATAACCAAAGGAATTGTTTTCCTTTAAAATATCTACAATTCTTTGAGTTTTTATTATATATTAGAAACATATATTATCTTTTTTTATATATATATAGAACAATTCCTCTTATTATGTAAGGATATGTCACAATGTTATCAATTTTGTTATCATCATTTAACCTAAAATGTCAAATACCGGTATCAAAAATAATGTATTTCGACAGCTTATTCCTAACTAGTTTACATATTAATTAAAAAATAGTTTCAGAAATCATTCACAATACTGATTTGTGAAAATACTTTTAATAAACTGTGGGGTTTATTTACAATAGCGCAACAATGAACTAGTTACGTTTATATCACGCTGGCAATGAAGGTATATATTTTTAAATAAAACAGCTCTAGGTTATCAATTTTCAGTGCAAACTTTACACCGTTTTAGAGAAATGTTACCCATTTCAAGACATAGGGAAGAAATTCTTTGACAGGCAATATTTTGATCAATAAGTTTCTAACTTAAGAGAGGGGATCTCGTTATAATAGAACGTGTTTTAAATATTAATAACAGAGTTTATCTTAATTCATTATGCACTGACTGAGACTGTCAATATTCTTTGTGGTGTAACTTTCAAAATTATTATTAGTGATTTTTAATGCATTACAATGAAATATGGTGATAACGAAAAGTATTCAAGCTTAAAGGTCCATTAAACAATACAAAATTGGAGCACAGCAAACACGGACCTCCGAAACATCAGAGAGGTGAGATCAGGTGTCATGAAGGAGTGAGCATCCCCTGCCGAAATAACTGAAAATCCGTAGACAATTCAATGTGCATAAAATGGCCTAACAATTAGTGTAAAAAATATCAGTCAGCATCTGACTTAATGATAAATTGTATTTGCTGACTAATTCATTGTATCAACCATAGAACTTACGAAATGATAACTTTAAAGGAGACTGCTGGTATTCTTGTTTCATCAACGTGATTGTTAATAATTTACCTCGTTTTAGAAATTATTCATATGTAGAGCATGATTTTGCAACATTATTTTCACTGCAGAGGCCGGATGCCTCGACTTTAATATTTTTCGGGATAATGGCTTTGATGTTCCTGCGAAGAAGTGTTTCAAAGATTTTCTCAGATCTAAACTGTTTTGTAAGCCCATCCTTTCGGTGAGACAATAATCTAAATAATTTACAGTCTACACTGCTTTAGTAAGCTGTCACATTAGTTTCAGCTTTCTTTGCCCAGTGGTTCTTGTTTATTTCTACATATTTCAATATAAACTTTGACCCACTGATGTGACCCCATTCTATCACCATGAGACATGATTTGAATAATTGATAATCCACATATTATTTAATAATCTGCACTTCTTAGTTAGATGTCACATGTAAGTGTCTACGTCTCTGCTCCAATGATTCATAATAAGATGATTTTTAAAGATTTTTCCCAAATATATTTCAATGTTACACTTTTAACCTCTATTGTGATCCTACCCCTGGCAAACGTGATTTCACTAATAGAAAATTAACAATATCCCGACCCAGGAAGCTTCCAAATAATATTTAACGACAAAACATGTATCTGTGATATTGCAGACTCCACCATAAGCAGTAGTCAATCAATCCAAATGCTTCAGTTTTCTGGCGTTATGGTTCTTATTTATCCCAACTGTGGCCCTGTTTTAAACTTGAGGTGATAATCTAGACAATTTAGAATCTATACTGGCTCAGTAGCTGTCACATACGTTATAGCTTTCTTGGCCCAATTGTTCCCGAGAAAAGGCTTTTAACAATCTTTTCAGACAATGGGTGATCAGAAAAGCTCTCTGAGCTTTTAGCTTTGATGAGCTACATGTTAAAAGCTAATGAACAAACAAATTCAATGCATGGAATAGGAGATAGAGAACAGTAATCAAGCTCAGAAATCAATTAAAACAATACAAACTTAGAGTAGAGCAAACAATCATAGGTGGGATTAGGCGCCGTGAAGAAGCAAGAGCTCCACGTTCATCGGTCACATCAGTCACGTGCTCCTTGTCATGATCCCGCAAACGGAAAAAGCGGATATACAATGATTCCGGGAGTAAGAAATGATATGGATACAACGAACAGTATTCAATATCAAAGTCCATAAAACAATACAAAACAGATGCAGAGCTAACACGGACCTCCCAAACATCATAGGTGGCCTCAGGTGCCCTGGAGGAGTGAGCACCCCCTGCTGTTGTCGGTCACTCCTGCCGTGTGCTCCTTTTCATGATCGGGAAATAACGGGAAAATCCGTCGTCAATTCAGTGTATAAATAATGGACTAACAATTAGTATGATAAACGTCAGTCAGCATTTGACTCAATGATAAATTGTATTTGCTGACAAGGTCATATCGACCATAGAACTTACGAAATGATGACTTTAAACAAGACTGTTGATATTCTTGTTTCATCAACTTGCTTGTCAATAATTTACCTCGTTTAAGAAATTGTTCATATGTAGAGCATGCTCTTGCGTATCGATTCAACTGAGATATATATACTCCGTATGCAGGTGATGAAGGTATATTGTTGCATTGGTAAGGGAAGTTGACGTCAGAAAAGTTAAAGTCATCACGTTTATCATATAGCTTGGTTGTTAGATTACCATTAACGTCTTTTTCAAGTAAAATGTCCAAGTATGAAACAGATGTGTCAGACTCTGTGGTTCCTTTTATCTCAAGTTCTCTCCAGGATATATCGTATTGACTTAGGACGTCGTTGATATATCTATATGTCGAGCTGAAGGCCACAGCAAGTGTTTTCTTCTTTTCACGCATGATTTTGCACAAATTTTGCTTCATAAGAATATAAAAACATGTCTGCTAATAACGGAGCGTACTTGGTACCCAGGGGAATTCTAATAGATTGTTGGAATACCTGGTCTCCAAAAACCACACATATATTGTTAATCAGAAACTCAGGCATCTCTTTGATGTCAACTTCAGAATACTTGTGTGTGCAATCAGAATGTTTTAACAAAATAATTTTGCCAATGACCAAGTAAGTAAATTTAGTTCCATTTTTATTGAAAAAGCAGTTGTCATTGATATAAAAAAGCCTGGACTTTGATTTATCGTGGGGAATGGTTGTGTATAAAGTTGAAAAGTCGTAAATTTTTAGGCTGTTGATTTTGGTAAAATCTTGTGATTTCAAATTGGCCAAAAGTTCTTTGGAATTTTTGAGGATCCACATCTGATTCACACAACTTCTTGAATATATTTTTGCACAGTACTTTTGAAGTTTTTTCCTTCACTACTGTCAATATTTTAGTGAGTAGTAACGAAAGAGGTTTGGTTGAATATTTACTGGAACCCGCAATGTAAATAATGGCCTAACAATTCGACCTAATGACAGATTGTATTAAATGATCAGCTGAAGGTCACTGTAACAAAATGTTGACTTATAAGGACTGTTACTAATATGACATCAAATAATGGATCGCATTGGATTTGGTACACGATTTCTACGTTTTATAACTCCGTCACCTTGTAATGGAAAAAAATATTATCATCATAAAAAATAAATTTATTACAACAAAATTGTGCTTCAGGTTAATAGACACATGAACGCACTAAGGCTTCCGATTTACCGGTATTTGTTTTGTATGTATTTTATTGACAATATGTCAAAGGGATTGGACACAAGTTCCAAAACTTAGATATTCCTCTCCCATATATAAGATTTCAATGACCATACAATATTTATAATTTTATAATAATATAAATACATGAACATAGAAGAACAAAAGCAATAGCAAGTATTGCCAAAAATATCAATAGATATACTGGTGATTATTATGATGACAATAATCAAGGTTTTTACAAGGTTTCAGCCAATGCAGTGCTTTAAATGTAAGTTGGGTGATGAGGTAAACTGGATAACAAGGAAGAGAAACAAAACTACAATACAAAACACGGGTCTTATGATACATATCGATATGCTTTACATGTACGTGAACGGATACTATAAAGCAAATGGTCAGGAAATTAAACTTGACATTTTAACAATTAAAACAAGGGATTCTTAGATAGTGGTCATACATTAGAATATCACTGCTGCAGTCTGACATCATAGAGTCTTTGACACATAGTGTAGCATAAAACAGGCAGATCTAGAAGCTGGATATGTCACATCCTGGTAAGACGTCGAATTTCACGATTACAGATAGGACAGTAGTGTATAATGGTCTTCAGTCTTCTGTCCAATAATGGAAGCCAAGCAAAAATAATGAAAATACTGAAAAACGGCAAAAGTATACCAGGTATCAGAGAAAAAATTAAAATATCGATCAACTGTAAACACTTAAAAGAGAGCACATATAACTGTTAAAGATACAAACCACTAACAGTTTCTCTCTTCTCTTAGATTTATATTGCTTTTGATAGACATCTAATTAGTTCAAAATTGTTCAAATTAACATAAATCAGTAATACAGTAATAGAGACAAAGATACACTGTATTTGAAAAGATACAATGTATTTGAGTTTAGGAAGAAGAAAAGTTTGTAATTTATCCTTAAATGCAAAAATATTTTACCGGACAATAAATGAATTCCAAAAAGACGGAGTTCACCTTTGTAAAGCTCATCGTAGCTAATGCCAATTTAAGGTATGATTTTTGATTTCCATTCAATCAGAAGACGGTACTGGAGTTGTCTTATATCTACCATGTAAGGATCATGAACCAGGTCAGCAGAGGAGGTAGGAATACCATCTAATTGTCTTATACCTACCATGTAAGAATCATGAACCAGGTCAGCAGAGGAGGTAGGAAAACTATCTTATTGTCTTATATCTACCATGTAAGAATCATGAACCAGGTCAGCAGAGGAGGTAGGAATCCCATCTTATTGTCTTATATCTACCATGTAAGAATCATGAACCAGGTCAGTAGAGGAGGTAGGAATCCCATCTTATTGTCTTATACCTACCATGTAAGAATCATGAACCAGGTCAGCAGAGGAGGTAGGAATCCCATCTTATTGTCTTATATCTACCATGTAAGAATCATGAACCAGGTCAGTAGAGGAGGTAGGAATCCCATCTTATTGTCTTATATCTACCATGTAAGAATCATGAACCAGGTCAGTAGAGGAGGTGGGAATCCCATCTTATTGTCTTATATCTACCATGTAAGAATCATGAACCAGGTCAGTAGAGGAGGTGGGAATCCCATCTTATTGTCTTATATCTACCATGTAAGAATCATGAACCAGATCAGTAGAGGAGGTAGGAATCCCATCTTATTGTCTTATATCTACCATGTAAGAATCATGAACCAGGTCAGTAGAGGAGGTGGGAATCCCATCTTATTGTCTTATACCTACCATGTAAGAATCATGAACCAGGTCAGTAGAGGAGGTAGGAATCCCATCTTATTGTCTTATACCTACCATGTAAGAATCATGAACCAGGTCAGTAGAGGAGGTAGGAATCCCATCTTATTGTCTTATATCTACCATGTAAGAATCATGAACCAGGTCAGTAGAGGAGGTAGGAATCCCATCTTATTGTCTTATACCTACCATGTAAGAATCATGAACCAGGTCAGTAGAGGAGGTAGGAATCCCATCTTATTGTCTTATACCTACCATGTAAGAATCATGAACCAGGTCAGTAGAGGAGGTAGGAATCCCATCTTATTGTCTTATACCTACCATGTAAGAATCATGAACCAGGTCAGTAGAGGAGGTAGGAATCCCATCTTATTGTCTTATACCTACCATGTAAGAATCATGAACCAGGTCAGTAGAGGAGGTAGGAATCCCATCTTATTGTCTTATACCTACCATGTAAGAATCATGAACCAGGTCAGCAGAGGAGGTAGGAATCCCATCTTATTGTCTTATATCTACCATGTAAGAATCATGAACCAGGTCAGCAGAGGAGGTAGGAATCCCATCTTATTGTCTTATATCTACCATGTAAGAATCATGAACCAGGTCAGTAGAGGAGGTAGGAATCCCATCTTATTGTCTTATACCTACCATGTAAGAATCATGAACCAGGTCAGTAGAGGAGGTAGGAATCCCATCTTATTGTCTTATACCTACCATGTAAGAATCATGAACCAGGTCAGTAGAGGAGGTAGGAATCCCATCTTATTGTCTTATATCTACCATGTAAGAATCATGAACCAGGTCAGTAGAGGAGGTAGGAATCCCATCTTATTGTCTTATATCTACCATGTAAGAATCATGAACCAGGTCAGTAGAGGAGGTAGGAATCCCATCTTATTGTCTTATATCTACCATGTAAGAATCATGAACCAGGTCAGTAGAGGAGGTAGGAATCCCATCTTATTGTCTTATACCTACCATGTAAGAATCATGAACCAGGTCAGCAGAGGAGGTAGGAATCCCATCTTATTGTCTTATACCTACCATGTAAGAATCATGAACCAGGTCAGCAGAGGAGGTAGGAATCCCATCTTATTGTCTTATACCTACCATGTAAGAATCATGAACCAGGTCAGCAGAGGAGGTAGGAATCCCATCTTATTGTCTTATATCTACCATGTAAGAATCATGAACCAGGTCAGTAGAGGAGGTAGGAATCCCATCTTATTGTCTTATACCTACCATGTAAGAATCATGAACCAGGTGTAGAGGAGGTAGGAATCATCTTATTGTCTTATACCTACCATGTAAGAATCATGAACCAGGTCAGTAGAGGAGGTAGGAATCCCATCTTATTGTCTTATACCTACCATGTAAGAATCATGAACCAGGTCAGTAGAGGAGGTAGGAATCCCATCTTATTGTCTTATACCTACCATGTAAGAATCATGAACCAGGTCAGTAGAGGAGGTAGGAATACCATCTTATTGTCTTATACCTACCATGTAAGAATCATGAACCAGGTCAGCAGAGGAGGTAGGAAAACTATCTTATTGTCTTATATCTACCATGTAAGAATCATGAACCAGGTCAGTAGAGGAGGTAGGAATCCCATCTTATTGTCTTATATCTACCATGTAAGAATCATGAACCAGGTCAGTAGAGGAGGTAGGAATCCCATCTTATTGTCTTATATACTACCATGTAAGAATCATGAACCAGGTCAGCAGAGGAGGTAGGAAAACTATCTTATTGTCTTATATCTACCATGTAAGAATCATGAACCAGGTCAGTAGAGGAGGTAGGAATCCCATCTTATTGTCTTATATCTACCATGTAAGAATCATGAACCAGGTCAGTAGAGGAGGTAGGAATCCCATCTTATTGTCTTATACCTACCATGTAAGAATCATGAACCAGGTCAGCAGAGGAGGTAGGAATCCCATCTTATTGTCTTATATCTACCATGTAAGAATCATGAACCAGGTCAGTAGAGGAGGTAGGAATCCCATCTTATTGTCTTATATCTACCATGTAAGAATCATGAACCAGGTCAGTAGAGGAGGTGGGAATCCCATCTTATTGTCTTATATCTACCATGTAAGAATCATGAACCAGGTCAGTAGAGGATAATCCCATCTTATTGTCTTATATCTACCATGTAAGAATCATGAACCAGATCAGTAGAGGAGGTGGGAATCCCATCTTATTGTCTTATATCTACCATGTAAGAATCATGAACCAGGTCAGTAGAGGAGGTGGGAATCCCATCTTATTGTCTTATACCTACCATGTAAGAATCATGAACCAGGTCAGTAGAGGAGGTAGGAATCCCATCTTATTGTCTTATACCTACCATGTAAGAATCATGAACCAGGTCAGTAGAGGAGGTAGGAATCCCATCTTATTGTCTTATATCTACCATGTAAGAATCATGAACCAGGTCAGTAGAGGAGGTAGGAATCCCATCTTATTGTCTTATACCTACCATGTAAGAATCATGAACCAGGTCAGTAGAGGAGGTAGGAATCCCATCTTATTGTCTTATACCTACCATGTAAGAATCATGAACCAGGTCAGTAGAGGAGGTAGGAATCCACTTATTGTCTTATATACCATGTAAGAATCATGAACCAGGTCAGTAGAGGAGGTAGGAATCCCATCTTATTGTCTTATACCTACCATGTAAGAATCATGTGTGTGGAATCCCATCTTATTGTCTTATACACCATGTAAGAATCATGAACCAGGTCAGCAGAGGAGGTAGGAATCCCATCTTATTGTCTTATATCTACCATGTAAGAATCATGAACCAGGTCAGTAGAGGAGGTAGGAATCCCATCTTATTGTCTTATACCTACCATGTAAGAATCATGAACCAGGTCAGTAGAGGAGGTAGGAATCCCATCTTATTGTCTTATACCTACCATGTAAGAATCATGAACCAGGTCAGAAGAGGAGGTAGGAATCCCATCTTATTGTCTTATATCTACCATGTAAGAATCATGAACCAGGTCAGTAGAGGAGGTTTCTTATTGTCTTATATCTACCATGTAAGAATCATGAACCAGGTCAGTGAGGAGGTAGGAATCCCATCTTATTGTCTTATATCTACCATGTAAGAATCATGAACCAGGTCAGTAGAGGAGGTAGGAATCCCATCTTATTGTCTTTACCTACCATGTAAGAATCATGAACCAGGTCAGTAGAGGAGGTAGGAATCCCACTTATTGTCTTATACCTACCATGTAAGAATCATGAACCAGGTCAGCAGAGGAGGTAGGAATCCCATCTTATTGTCTTATACCTACCATGTAAGAATCATGAACCAGGTCAGCAGAGGAGGTAGGAATCCCATCTTATTGTCTTATATCTACCATGTAAGAATCATGAACCAGGTCAGTGAGGAGGTAGGAATCCCATCTTATTGTCTTATACCTACCATGTAAGAATCATGAACCAGGTCAGTAGAGGAGGTAGGAATCCCATCTTATTGTCTTATACCTACCATGTAAGAATCATGAACCAGGTCAGTAGAGGAGGTAGGAATCCCATCTTATTGTCTTATACCTACCATGTAAGAATCATGAACCAGGTCAGTAGAGGAGGTAGGAATCCCATCTTATTGTCTTATACCTACCATGTAAGAATCATGAACCAGGTCAGAAGAGGAGGTAGGAATCCCATCTTATTGTCTTATACCTACCATGTAAGAATCATGAACCAGGTCAGAGGAGGTAGGAATCCCATCTTATTGTCTTATACCTACCATGTAAGAATCATGAACCAGGTCAGTAGAGGAGGTAAAATCCCATCTTATTGTCTTATACCTACCATGTAAGAATCATGAACCAGGTCAGTAGAGGAGGTAGGAATCCCATCTTATTGTCTTATACCTACCATGTAAGAATCATGAACCAGGTCAGTAGAGGAGGTAGGAATCCCATCTTATTGTCTTATACCTACCATGTAAGAATCATGAACCAGGTCAGTAGAGGAGGTAGGAATCCCATCTTATTGTCTTATATCTACCATGTAAGAATCATGAACCAGGTCAGTAGAGGAGGTAGGAATCCCATCTTATTGTCTTATATCTACCATGTAAGAATCATGAACCAGGTCAGTAGAGGAGGTAGGAATCCCATCTTATTGTCTTATACCTACCATGTAAGAATCATGAACCAGGTAGATAGGAGGTTCCCATCTTATTGTCTTATACCTACCATGTAAGAATCATGAACCAGGTCAGTAGAGGAGGTAGGAATCCCATCTTATTGTCTTATATCTACCATGTAAGAATCATGAACCAGGTCAGTAGAGGAGGTAGGAATCCCATCTTATTGTCTTATATCTACCATGTAAGAATCATGAACCAGGTCAGTAGAGGAGGTAGGAATCCCATCTTATTGTCTTATATCTACTATGTAAGAATCATGAACCAGGTCAGTAGAGGAGGTAGGAATCCCATCTTATTGTCTTATACCTACCATGTAAGAATCATGAACCAGGTCAGCAGAGGAGGTAGGAATCCCATCTTATTGTCTTATACCTACCATGTAAGAATCATGAACCAGGTCAGCAGAGGAGGTAGGAATCCCATCTTATTGTCTTATACCTACCATGTAAGAATCATGAACCAGGTCAGTAGAGGAGGTAGGAATCCCATCTTATTGTCTTATATCTACCATGTAAGAATCATGAACCAGGTCAGTAGAGGAGGTAGGAATCCCATCTTATTGTTTTATACCTACCATGTAAGAATCATGAACCAGGTCAGTAGAGGAGGTAGGAATCCCATCTTATTGTCTTATACTACCATGTAAGAATCATGAACCAGGTCAGTAGAGGAGGTAGGAATCCCATCTTATTGTCTTATACCTACCACGTAAGAATCATGAACCACGTCAGTAGAGGAGGTAGGAATCCCATCTTATTGTCTTATACCTACCATGTAAGAATCATGAACCAGGTCAGTAGAGGAGGTAGGAATCCCATCTTATTGTCTTATATCTACCATGTAAGAATCATGAACCAGGTCAGAGAGGAGGTAGGAATCCCATCTTATTGTCTTATATCTACCATGTAAGAATCATGAACCAGGTCAGTAGAGGAGGTAGGAATCCATTCTTATTTTCTTATACCTAACATGTAAGAATCCTGAACCAGGTCAGCAGAGGAGGTAGGAATCCCATCTTATTGTCTTATATCTACCATGTAAGAATCATGAACCAGGTCAGTAGAAGGTAGGAATCCCATCTTATTGTCTTATATCTACCATGTAAGAATCATGAACCAGGTCAGTAGAGGAGGTGGGAATCCCATCTTATTGTCTTATATCTACCATGTAAGAATCATGAACCAGGTCAGTAGAGGAGGTGGGAATCCCATCTTATTGTCTTATATCTACCATGTAAGAATCATGAACCAGGTCAGTAGAGGAGGTAGGAATCCCATCTTATTGTCTTATATCTACCATGTAAGAATCATGAACCAGGTCAGTAGAGGAGGTAGGAATCCCATCTTATTGTCTTATATCTACCATGTAAGAATCATGAACCAGGTCAGTAGAGGAGGTAGGAATCCCATCTTATTGTCTTATATCTACCATGTAAGAATCATGAACCAGGTCAGTAGAGGAGGTAGGAATCCCATCTTATTGTCTTATATCTACCATGTAAGAATCATGAACCAGGTCAGTAGAGGAGGTAGGAATCCCATCTTATTGTCTTATATCTACCATGTAAGAATCATGAACCAGGTCAGTAGAGGAGGTAGGAATCCCATCTTATTGTCTTATATCTACCATGTAAGAATCATGAACCAGGTCAGTAGAGGAGGTAGGAATCCCATCTTATTGTCTTATACCTACCATGTAAGAATCATGAACCAGGTCAGCAGAGGAGGTAGGAATCCCATCTTATTGTCTTATACCTACCATGTAAGAATCATGAACCAGGTCAGTAGAGGAGGTAGGAATCCCATTTATTGTCTTATACCTACCATGTAAGAATCATGAACCAGGTCAGCAGAGGAGGTAGGAATCCCATCTTATTGTCTTATATCTACCATGTAAGAATCATGAACCAGGTCAGCAGAGGAGGTAGGAATCCCATCTTATTGTCTTATACCTACCATGTAAGGATCATGAACCAGGTCAGTAGAGGAGGTAGGAATCCCATCTTATTGTCTTATACCTACCATGTAAGAATCATGAACCAGGTCAGTAGAGGAGGTAGGAATCCCATCTTATTGTCTTATACCTACCATGTAAGGATCATGAACCAGGTCAGCAGAGGAGGTAGGAATCCCATCTTATAAACAACCACGGGAACAGTGGCGTTCTGGCAGTGGGGACACACCGTCTGATTAGGATTGTGAGAATCGAACACATTCCACGCGTCAATCTTCTCTCTTGTGACAATTTCCACTAAATCATAGAACCAATATTAAAGAACATGTTCTTTTTTTTTTAAATAAATAAATGTGAAAATGTTCTGTCAAAACACTACGTTTTCGATTTTTATTGTGTAAACCATTCTGGTGATCAATTCATGATCTTGGGACAGCAAGGGACTAAATTGTAATGTCATCTTCGGAAGTATGATGCTTAATTTCATTTCCTAAGAAGTCTTTTTCACTAGGAAAATAACAAGAGTAGTGGGATCACGGACTTTTGAAAATACAAATGGGGTCAGTGCCTTGGGAGAGAAAAGGCCCCCTATCGACTGGTCAAAAACGCCTTGTGTTTCTTGTCATGATTAGATGTTAGGAAACGTTCATGGTTAGTTCAAAGTGAAAATAATGGCTTGAAGACATGTACAATGAAGCGCATTGAAGTGGTAAAATTTTCCGTTTGGATGGAACGTTTGGAGCTATCTTTAGACACGCCCATTTCTTTAGAAAGGAAATTTCGGTCAAATGATTCAATCGAATACCTGTAGAACAGGTATTTCATAAAAATAATAGCCAATCAAATTGACGGTCTACATAAACACCTGATAAAATCATAATTATGTACAAATTCGTTTCAGTGCGTGTTTTACAGAAGCGGGAACTCTATATATAGCTCTTTCTTATTAAAAAATCTTCATTTCAGTGTAACTCATGTTGCTTGTCGCGGAAAGTGGGGTGTCCTAAAACATTACGACGAATATTTCTTTCTCTTTTCTAAAGAAATGGGCGTGTCGTTACGTTATAATTGACGTTCAAAACATGACTCAGAACGTTTCATCCAAATGGAAAATTTTACCACTTCAATGCACTTCATTGTATATAGAGCAGAGGTCTGAACATGGAGAGAGCTTCTCGAGTAGCTGTAGACGGAACCACATGGATATCCCTTGTACCCGCCTCAACCGCGTGATGACACAGAGGAAATTGACTGACTAACTTGTATGAAAGACGTAGACTGTCAACATTCGAATTAACGACCGATTGAATTTTCGATATTGTATCGATAACGGAATTTGCAAAAATAAGTGTTGACTTGAAATGAGATGGGTGTGCTGATTAAGGATCTAGGTAACCGGTTATACTGGTTCTTGTTGTTGTTTATAAACGCCCCTCTCGAGAATTTCTCGCTCATCTGGAGAAGCCACAGTAGCTGCGACTGGAGGACTGTAAATTATGACTCGTTACTCGGCCAATAAAGCAGTACGGGAACTTGTCAGCATCTTCTGCGACACTGGATTTCAACCGCAGCGCTTGAGATTCACACCCGCGACGTAAGGATTCTTACCATTGTGCCACAAGAGTTATTCTAGTAATTATGGATCAAAATCACCGGTTTCATATTATGTAATCAAAGACCCGACACTCATGCCACGATAAATACATATTATAGTTCAGTTAAATTAAATATTTGACATGATGATAAAGGTGCATGGACACAGATTTGAAGTTACTTGTATTTAATTTAATCAATATTTTATTATGTTAGATTACATAATTGGATTGGACATCAGGCATGGCCTATATAAGTCCTCTCCAAGGTCAAGGTTACAAATGTTAAGAATATTGACAATAATTTACAATGATGGAATAATACTTATTAAGTTACATTATTTTCTTTTCTTAACTATATATAGGAAAGCAAAACGAAAAAAAAATAGATTAATGCAAATGAATTAAACGAATTAGCTTCGCTTAGTGTTCACACGGAGAATTTAATGCGAATTAGTTTACTTCGCATTAGTTTACTGCGCATTAAGTTACTTCGCATTAGCTCCATGTGAACGCTATGCGAAGCTAATTCGAATTAAATTTGGGGGCATGCGTAATGACAAAATTAAGTCAAATGCGTCATGTCGGTAGTCAGCTTTAAGTACTTGTGCTATTTTTGAGTGAAAAACTAAGAAAAAATGTGTTAATCACTAAAATATGTCTCCAGACACTGTGAATTATATATGGTGAAAGACGTCAAATAGCCTTCCTCAAAAAAAATTTTAATTCGCATTAGTTTACTTCGCATTAGCTGTCGTGTGAACGCAATTTAATTCGCATTAGTTTGATTCGCATTAGTTTACTTCGCATTAATTTACTGCGAATTAAACTTGTCGTGTGAACAGGGCATAAGTTATACAGAAGAATTATTACTAAGTTTGTATACTCGCTATGAAATATAATGATAAGGAAGTAAAAAAGTGCAAACAAACAGCAAACAGAATAAGTAAATAAATAATAAAGTGCAAAGGATAAATATGCAAAGAAAAATACAAATCTGAAGAAAGTTACTTGTAATATTTTCTGTATAAAATTACGACTTATATATTTTAAGAGCACTTCACACAAAAATATATTAAAAATCTTATTTCAGTTACTTATTAAAACTTCAAATTTTTAGACGTGTTTGATTGACACATCCTTGCACTTTCAAAAATTTTAATTCTATTCTTAATACTTATGGAAAAGTGGCAATCTTGTTGTGTATAAATGAAAAATATTAAAGCTTACTATAATCCAGAAAATTCAGAGTTTCAATATTTTTAACATGTTTAAGATGAAATAAAATTTTTAATATATTTTTTCGTGAAATATTATTAAAATATATAAGTCGTAATATTATACAGAAAATATTAACTTCAAGTCTGTGTCCATGCACCTTTAGAGATACTTTGTACAGTTGTATGAGGAGTTTTGGGATTTTAATTTTTGGAAGTTTTATTAAGAATTGAATACCTTAGTGGTGTTTCATACATTTTTTTGTTTGGAATTCTTATGTTGATGTACAATTAATTAATGATATATAATGTATTTGCTACATAATGACATGTAATTAGAATGATATCTCAAAAAATATTTTCGATCCCTATTATCATCAGCTGATCATTCTCAGAATATGACATAATTAATTCTCTTTCACATTACGTACCAGAGTTGACTTTCTCCTCCATTGTACTTCAGTAAAATATGGCCATATGGACACGGTGTTACCGATCCAGGAAGTGATTTTCCTGACGGTCTGTTTTTATTTACTCTTTGGGTACTTTCATTCGTGCTGGTAAACAAAACCCTGCGTAACTTCCGTTAAAGACTAATATGGTAGCCCATTAGGGTATTTTCAAATAGTTTTTTTTTTTGTGAATAATAAGCTTGGAGAAAATAGAACGATTCATTTTATAATAGGCTTTACCTGTATATATGATGTGGTGATGTATAGGATGCCGTTTGGCATAAGGAAATAAAGAATTGACAAAACATAAAAAAAACTCATTTAGTTATGCAATAGAAATTATCGGTTCTCGATTCCGTGCCCCCTGCATGGATCTCTAGATAAGACCGCGGAACATTAACTGGCAAAATTGGAAATATACAGCTTACGTCATTTCTATCTGTTACAATCAAAACATTCAGTGATAGACAATGAAATGGGCGGGTACAATTCGACGCGGACGTGGGGAAAACATCGGATTGAAATTGCAGATCGAAATTTATTTTCAATCCACCTCATGCAGCTACGCTAGAAGGCACATAATTACAGATTGACCCAGAAGACAAATAATTTCAATTTTGGTACAGTTTGAATTGTTTTGTCCAGTGTTTTAAATAAATTAATATTTACAAGGGACAAATATTTCATTTCTGTTTGGTAAGTATATGTATATCTTTGTGTTGTTGTGGGGGGGGGGGGGGGGGGCTGAACGATTTTTAAATAAAGTTGTCCAACAGTTTTCAGTGAGAATAAGTATAAAACTCATGCACTCTTATAATCCTAGAAATAAAATATATTGTCATGTTAAGCCATAACCTGACTAGACAATTTTTAACCCCCCCCCCCCCCCCCCCCCGCCCCTTCTAGAATCAAATATCTCCTGAAAAATCTTTGTTTTCTATATGATCTTTCGCGTTCTTAAAATTATAAGCTAAAACTCAATGACATATTAATGTGAACTTCAAACAGTATGTATTTGGGTAGTTGAAATTAGTTGATTTTTGGATCATACATTCACTCTTTGATTTGAAAACAGCTAAGATGGATTGAAAATGAATTTCGATCAGCAATTTCAATCCGATGTTTTTCCCACGTCCGCGTCGAATTGTACCTGCCCATTTCATTGTCTATCACTGAATGTTTTGATTGTAACAGATAGAAATAATGTAAGCTGTATATTTCCAATCTTGCCATGTTTCGCGGTCTTATATTTCAACTGACACTTCCATGGCATGGCACGACACCAAATGAAACCGAAGCCCAAGACATCAGACCAGATCGGTATTCGAATCCGGCCGCTCTAAATGCTCTTACTAGACTACCAACTGAAGTGTCTGGGTATCAGCGATGGAACTCACACTGTAAAAACTGTGTTTAGAATCTAAACGCAAATCTAAACACATTTTTTGTATCACTTTTTTTTTTACACGTTTAGCTCTAAACATGTCTCATTTCTAAACACGTTAGACTTCATGTGTTTAGTTGGTAAACATGTTTAACCCCTAAACACTTATATCTAAACACATTTTTTGTTTCACTTTTTTTACACGTTTAGCCCTAAACACGTCTCATTTCTACACACATCAATATTTAAGTGTTAAGTTGCTAAACATGTTTAGTTTCACAACATTAAATCCAACACAATAATTTAATTTATAAACTATTGCAAGAAAACATATTTTCAGAAGAAAAAAATTATTAAATAAGTTTCCCATAAATACGTTATCATATTTAATAACTGGTGTTTTACATGTACATACAAAAACCAAATTTTGAACTTGAAAAGTACCCATATTTCAGGAAAGAAACAGTTAAACATAACATTATTGAACATTCAAACATGTATTTATTTTGAAGAATTTTAAATTCAATATACATATAGGTCTAAACATGTAATTTTTTTTGCTCATTTCAATCTTATTCAGCTCAGCAAGCATGCAATTATTCCTGTCTGTAACAAATTAAAGTTAATCAAGTTTATTAATTTCCTGCAAGTCTTTCACTAGAAACACACGATCATATGTTTTCGTCCATGAATGCCAGAAAGGAATCCATTTTCATTATACGAATATTTTGTGGCGCGTCATTTCCGGGAAGATAACTCTGTTTGTCACAGAAAGTGTTCAATTTCTAAACACTTAAATCTAAACATGTCTTAAATCTAAACACTTTTAGATATAATACATGCTTAGACGTGAGTGTTTAGCCGTTAAACACAATCTTAAACATGTTTAGGTCTAAACATGTAATGGAAGTGTTTATTTTCTAAACGCAGTTTTTACAGTGATGCATTTTAAACCGTTATACCGCCACAAAATGATGCAAATATTTACAGACTTAAGGTACTCCGATCCTTAGCTAGGAAGGATAACTCTTTAATTTATAATTTAATTCAAAAAGTCTCAAAATGAAGCTCGAAAATTAATTCTTTTCATGCAACAATTTTCATTTTATACCTCTCAATGTGCTTCAATGTTCTTTGAAGTTATCAGAAAAGGTTTTATAAAAAGTCGAAAATTTTACCCCATAAAGGTGTTTTAAAATGACATATTCAAAGAAATTGAGGTTCATTTTTATCTAACCGTAGATATCAATGTTAACATGATAAGAAATTAGAAGTAATTTATGATGTTTTGCAATGATAGGAAAATTTGTATACACTTAGCATTGTAAAATGATCAAAGTTAAAGAAGAAAGTAATGTACCCTATATGTATAAAAATTGTGCATTTTCTTCAAAAGCCTGGATACCTATGATTTTTATTTCTACAATGTTGTTGTTGATCAAATTTGAATTGGAAAATGCATAGTAAGTGTTTTCATTCGCATTTCCTGAAAAATTCATTTGAAATTTACTCATTTTCCATATATAATATGATTAACTTTAAAGACGAAGTTTGAAGAATTATCGTGGGTAAAAACGTGTTACTCTGAGAATTCAGAGACATTTTTGTGAGCTTTTCATACACTGTAGTCAATGCCTGATTTTCAGGACCTGGGGATCGGAGAACCTTAAAACTTACAATTATAAAAGCAAAACAAAATATAAATCTCAAAATAATTTAATCATTTTCCTCTACCGTTATTATGAAAAAACAAATCAATTTATCAAAGAATAAATGAAAGTAATGCGATAAAAAGTACAACTGAACAAAGCGCTTCACTTCGTATTCCAGTATTTCCTTTTGAACCTTTCCCCTTCAATCCACTTCCGTTGTTCCCTGTACCGCCACTGTTAGATCCGCCGTTCAAACTTGTACAGCCTCCACTTTTAACACATTGTAGTTTTGTGCTGCCTTCAGTGTAAGTTTTTTCAGCGTCTTGGAAGAAAAAAAAAGTGCATCGGTGATATTCACTTTTTTAGAGGACTTGAACATTTCATTTAGACAGATACATGTATATTCAAATAAAACAATAAATAATAGTAAAAAAAAATGCAATTAATTAAGGACGATGGTTACTCGGGTTTCAGAAGACAGAAAGGAAATTCAATTGAGTACAATATGTTAAATCAAAATTTGTTTTAAATGGATAAAATAACCTTTTAACTCAATATCAAATTAAAAATTTTGTACTATTATTTGAGAAAAACTGCAAGAACAAAAGTCAATATTTGGTAATGCAGAGAGAAATCGGACTTAATATTTAACTTCATTTTTGTCTCAAAATTTTATTTGTATATAATTTTTAAACTTGTAATATAGCACATGTATTGGGGTTGTGTACCAATACTCACAGGGACAGACGTTACACAGGAAAGGACAATCGAACGCCACGTTACTCAGTCTTAGGCACTGATCCTTCTTATAGGATAAACTACAGAAGGAAGGGTCCTGTTGACCGCTACAGGTCACTGAAAAAATAAAACCTGAAGTGGTAATATTTCAGGGGCGCTCCTCCTTAAATTGTCAAATTTAGATAAATTGTTATTCCTAAATATCATTTTACGGAAATGATTGACTGTTCACAACCGCGAGTCCATTAACTACCTGTGAGTAATATTGAAAATTTGACAATTCATGTTATATTAATCTCTGCGACTCCCTCCTTTAAGTTTAGTTTCATTGTAAGTAAAATTATGAATATGTTAACTTTCTTACATTTATTAAGGATACACCAACGTAGTTTTGAGCTTTATTTTCTGAATGATTCAAAACATTAACATTCAATTTAATTGTGACTTAATTGAATATCTTTTCAACCCCCCTGGAAATGTATGTTTTATTTTTGACTACGAACTTTTAATGGTGCTATGACTTCAAAAAAAGAATATATGTATCTTGAAAAATTATATATATATATATATATATATATATATGTTCTTAGAAATATGTACATAGTGTACGTTGCATATGTCCTTAAACGACTTCGAAAGCAACGTGCATTTCGTTGGACCCAAGAACTAGAATTGTAAGACTTTAAGTAAATATTATATTAGAACATAATTTCAAAGGTATACTTGACATTTTCAATTTGCGACTATTACTCGTACTTACGTTCGCATTTATTTCCTGAATAAACATTAGTACTAGGACATGAGCATGCGCAGGTGGTATGGTTCTTCTTGGCATTTCCCTCGCAAGTCGTTGTCCCGGGACAAACTAAAGAAAAATCACAGTAATGTCTCAAAATAATACATTGATTGCAAAATTAATATACTAATGAGTTAAGCACATCGTTATATATAAATACCTCAAGAATAAAATTTATCATCACATAAATACATATATTATTTTTAAATTATCAACACGGTGATAAGATTTCCGAAGCTTAAATGTTTATTTATTGGGGTAAGTCACAATATATACATGTAGCTACATTATAAACCATTACCACACAGCCCTTGACTATCGCTGCTTTTACAGGGAGGTCCGTGTTTCTCGTAGGGTGTACCTAATCTTGATGATGGACTATTTCCTCTGAATATAGAAAAAACAAAACTCACCAATGTACTCTTATCATCTACATGTAACTACTGCCTACACTATGATAATAACGTTACTCACGCTGGGCCGTAGTTACAGACGTAGAAATGAGTACCACTGCAGTTACTGTAGCCACAGCCGAGAATGTAGGACTCCGCCCACACCAACTGAAAGACGAGTCAAGTCAATAATATACACAGTAATTCTTTTAATAAAGATAGAATAAAACAGCTAACTATATATATAACACGCGTCATCAAAATCATTTTTAATGAACTTCCTCATTTAACAGACTGATAGGAACAATTTACCTTTAGAATAAGGAACTTGGGCAATTGCAAAATTGCTCTTTCAAACCACAGACTTCTAAACGTCTTACGTATTAAGTTTATTCAAAAATTTATAGCATTATACGTAATAAGTTTATTCAATCATCAAACCCTATTTAAGATTTTGTGTCATTCCATGCACTTTTCATTGCTACGTGTACCTTTCCAGGTCGAGATACGTGCAAAATAAAGTTTAAGCTTACCTGTGTATATTGTCCAAATACGTACACAGGCAAAAACATATACTTACCTGTCTATAACGTCAGAATTCCTACATACGTATATACTTACCTGTGTATAATGTCCGACCTTCATGTAATCGTTACTGTTTCCCCCGTACGTAAAATCCGGTTCCTCGTCGTACCACAACTTAACGACATCGTCCCATGTCATGGAACCAAAATGGTTGTATGCCAGATTCTGTCCCAACGTAAAGCGACCTACATAATGGTCTCATGAGCTCAACAATATTCTCTTACAACTTTTATAAAACTAATTTTAGCGGCATTAAACGACTGATTTACATACATGATGGTTTTTTAAGAAATAAGTGATAATATTTTGTAGATGTAATGGATATGAAAATGTTGATAATTATCAAGAATCTTTCTCTCTCTCTAACCAATCAAACACCCACACCCCACCCCAATCCCAGTCCACCCAACGAAACCATCCCCACAAAATACTGTTCTCGTGACTAGAGAATCTCCCTTTTTTTCTTTGCTTGTCGAGGACTAATGCACTCTCTTCCTTTACAAAACGACACTACATGATTGGTTTGTATAAATACAGAACATTCTTTTTGGGATCAAAATAATATTTTTTTAAGCCTTATATTTCCTAGTTTTTAAACGATTCATATAGATTCTAGAGATAAAATTGTCCTTACTTAGACGTTTTTTGAAAAGAACAATAAATGTAGTGTTATTGTAATTTTGTAAAGAACAGTCACTTTATTGTTAGATTTGTGAATGTTAATTAAATTTTCTGATTTTTGTAAAAATGCAGGTCTGTTTTTCATATCACTTTCCTTTCTTGTACACACATCAAATATGATTTGAATTTCAATCAGCCTTGAAACTTTTATGAAATATTTTACCTGGGATGAACCGCTCTCTGTTTCCGTCGTGTACCGTTTTACAGTTTTCCGCCCATTTCCGGGCTACTGTAGCCACTTCCGGGTCCCAGACCATGGTCATCATGTTGAGAGCGCCGTTTTTGGCGGCGGCTATTCCTCGGTATTTATTGTGGGCGGCTACTGCATCCTGTGGTCTCACAACCCCTAAATGTCATTAAAATTAAGATATTTTTTTTATTTCAAAACAAAATTATTGGGGGAAATATGTATTTGTGATATTATAGCATAATTGTAAAAGATATGACCACCTCGTGTCACAACCGACATTTTGATCTCTGCATTCTCTTTAACTGTCAAAAAATTTGATGTGTGATCATTGAAAGGCTCTGCAACCTGGTAACAGACCAACAACGTGTGAAGACATTGAATGGGCATAAACTCATAAGATGATATTTTATCTTATAACACAAAATGATCTTTAGGTGTCAAAAGTTTGGCTGAAAATTAGAGTTGTGTTTGATGGTTACGCTGAAGTGTTGGCGATCCAGATAATGGCGAAAGGTAGCGAACTAATTGTGACATAAATCCTGGGATTAATTTAAATCAGAAAACATCAAAGTGTGTACCTGGACTGGAATCCGGGGACCGCGACAGACAGGCAGTGTGATGGGGGTACACCTTAAATTTGTCAATACATGTTCCCAGCGTGAACTCTGAAACACAGTTAATGACAAAAGTAAAACATGGATATAAAACGTAAAAAGAATAGGTGAAACTTTGTTCTCAATTCCGATTTCGATGCGCACAAATTCAAACACGAGCTTCATATCCTAATGACTTTTTTTAGATAATGAAATAACAGAAGGATTAAGATTAAAACAATCTGCACAGGAGAACGCAGATGCCGAAATTTCAATTTATTTCTCACGACTGAAAATTTGATTACCTGACCAATGTGATTAAATTGTACCAAATTCCTAACAATGGTTGTTAAAAGAAATTCCTCCTGGTCTATTTACCTGTCCATTTAAATGAATTAATAAAGGTGTCTTAAATTTGGACACCTTCGATGATTTATTGATCTTTTAATGTTTACGAAAATTAAGTGGACGTCCAAGAACATTTTTCTCATTTATTGCATTTCCCACTTTTAAAATATTGATGTAAGAAAGTAATTTATTTAAATAAGATAATATATTTTTTCTATCAGTAATTGAAGATCTAAATAAAAATCGGTGGTATGATATTTTTCCCCTTTTCCACGCTTATATAAATCACTACAAAGAATATTTTGCATTAATGTTTTTTACTTGATTTTATTCAATCAGATTGTCAACGTTTCAACAGGAATTCTGCCTCGGGTTTTATCATCATCAGCCTTATATTGATTTTAAAATAATGTTACATGTATTTATATAAATATTTATTGTTCAAATCGGGGGGGGGGGGGGGGGGGTGGGTGTTGGACTGAAAAAGAGCGAAGCATGAAAAGTAAGGAAAACATACACCACATATCGAGTTTTTAAATCAGTCTAATACCAATTTCATACCATTTAATACCAATTTCATAAATTAATCAAATTAATACTTTGGATCGAAGAATTAAATTTATAAACTTGTTTCCCCTTCATTTATTTACTAACTTTATCAAGTTTATAAATTTTTTTTAAAAGTTTTAATTTGTTTCAGCAAAAAGTTCTTGAAATATTTTTATTTATATTCTTGTGATGCTATGTAAATGTTTTCAAAGTATCTCGTAAAATTAAGCCAATTAAACGTAATTATGTCTCTAGAAGAGAGAGAGAGAGAGAGAGAGAGAGAGAGAGAGAGAGAGAGAGAGAGAGTTATACCTATGTAGAATCCAATATGCAGTAAAATCAGTAAAACATTCATAATTTTTCTAAGTAAGATCACAGTTTATTCCTTAATTTTAAACTTTTAAAGAAAATGAATGCTATCTGGAGAATCAACTTAATATACCTTCATTATTAACGGAGCGCATGCGTCTACCATTTGA